TTCGGGATGTTACATTAAGTATTTTTATATTCGTTCATCTCCATCCTAGAGACTACGTCCAGTTTGCAACCAGATTGAGTTCCACCATCTTATGCAAGATACAAGTATTCTTTACAAGCCACTTCTGGCTAAAGACCAAGTATTCTTTACAAGCCACTTCAAGCTAAACACCAAGTATTCTTCACAAGCCACTTCTAGCTAAAACTCAAGTATTCTTTTAACAAACCTCTTGATAGAGGACCATGGACCAAAGGTCCCATTACTAGAGCTATGTTTAGAAGGATGGAGGAAGAGTGGGATAACACAAAGGAGGTAAAGCCCAAGCACTTTTTAGTTGGTTGTGCCTTGAAGCCCAAGTAAATTAGGGTTTTGGCTGATATGGGCTTGTACTTGCTTTTTGTAGACCTTGTATTTTAGTGATGTAGTTTAGGTTTTCTTTTGGACCTTGTATTTTTGGCCATTTGGATTAAATTAGGGATTCGTTATTGTGAGCATTACATTACATGTCATTTGAGTCACATTTAAAGTAAATTTAGAGCACATGTGCCAAGGGTGGCACACATGGCATATCTAAATTCACCACCAAATGTAACTCAAATCACATGCAAATGCAGTGATCACATGGAGGCACATGGAGCGCATAGTAAGCCAAGGATTTCAGACCCAAATTTGAATTTTTAATTCAAATTTGGGCGCCTAAGTTTGAATAAACCATGCCATGGTTTATTTTAACCTTAGGTTTAACCTAGCTTACTTACCACACTTCCTAAGCCTATATATTCATTATGGCCATGTAGACTTCTCACTTTGAGCATATATGAGAGTTTCTTACCTTGAGTATTCTTTCTAACTGAAGTCCCTTATGGGAGTTCCCTTCTTCATTTCACCTTGAGATATCCTCTTTGTAGCTTTAGGCCTTGGCTCTTTCTAATTGAGGAGCTTGGTTCAAGTTTGAGCAACACTTCTCCTTCTTCTTTGGTTCATCTCCTTGAATAGTCCTCAAGGATTATAAGAAGGAGTTGTGTGAAGAGTCCATGGAGTTTGCACAATTCAAGACTCCATCAAGTGGTATCAAAGCATGATTTCTTCAAGAGATAAGTCACTAGTCTTTTCAGTGTTTTTCTGTTCTTTGTTCCTAAATTGTTGTTTTACATGTCTTGAAAGTTTTATTGTCTAGATCTAATTCTTCTTACATCATTTGATAGATCTAGTTTTGATTTGCTTCTAAGTGATTCATATTATTCATAATCTTGTGTTTGCCTCATATGAATCATTCCTTGAAATGTGCTATAGGATCCATACCTTGTGATTTTTTAATTTGTTGAGTGTTGTTTGTTTTTTAAAATTTTTGGCCATATGCAAGTATTTGAGTCATTTTAATTTTTGAATCTATCAAAGTATTATCTAGAGTCATGTGTAGTCTTTTATATGTCAAGAATTTCTTAGCCATGCTTGTTTGAATCCAAAAATTACATGATATATATATACTCTATTTTTGGCCAAATATAATTGAGCTTTGGTGTTTTTTAATTTGATCAATTTGAGTTCATGGATTACTATTAGATCATTAGTAATCTTTTTGTAGAGTTAGGCTTCCATTGTATCTTTGAGTTTCATAAAAAAAAATTGAAAATCCGGAAAAATTTTCTTGCATGTGGTGTTATTCTTTGATGGAAAAATTTGAATCAAATTGAATCATTAATCTGAAGAAGAAAAAAAGAACAAATCTGCTAGGCCCTGACAATCAATTTGAATTTGAGAAACATGAAAAACATGACTTCTTTATGTTACATTTAAGGTGCATTTCAAACTCATTTACAATTCAAATTACATGTTGAATTGGCGCGCCTAGTTTCTCAAACTGACCGAGACTTGATTTGAATTTTTTATAAAGAAAAAGGCAACTTATATTGAATTTCTATTGAATTACAATTGTTAAAAAGAAAAGTAGAAAATTCAAATGTGCAATTTATAATATATATATATATATATAG